GAAGAATATCTTCATGTTTTCGGGGTTCTTGAGGAATTAGCAGATCTTCCAGAATCATGAAGGCTGGGTTGAGGGTTGAGGGTTTAGGGTTTAGGGTTTTAGGGTTCACGGTCTTAGGGTTCAGGGTTTAGGGGTTTTGGGTTCAGGGGATTAGGGTTTAGGGTTTTAGGGTCGTGGGGATCAGGGTTTGGGGTTTGGGGTTTAGGATGTAGGGGATTAGGGTACAAAGGTCTCATAAGACCACGCACTGTTATCGAACCCAGAGTTTCAGCACCCTCATGGGAAAAGACGTGAAACCTTGAATCCCTAAACCCTAAACCCTGAACCCCAAGCCCTAAACTCCACCCCACCCCCCCCCCCCAACCAAACAGGCCGGAGGCCTCTGTGCTGTCTGACTCGTTCAGCATCTGATCCAGGAGCTGGGTGGAACAGGGCTCCGGAACCTCGCAGCTAACTAGTTAGGTTTTAGGGTTTAGGGTTTAGGGTTTAAGGTTTAGGGTTTAGGGTTTAGGGTTTAGGGTTTGGGGTTTAGGGTTTAGGGTTTAGGGTTTAGGGTTTAGGGTTTAGGTTTAGGGTTTAGGGTTTAGGTTTTACTGTACTATGGCGTACAAGCTGTAAATGTGACGGTTTTCAGTAGAGCCTTGAGCAATGCGAAGGGCGGCCATGGCCCGATGCCACCCTAACACCTTTCTCCCACCCCACGCCGTCTCAGGCGTCAAAACCACCCTTCCTTTTAGGTTTTAGGCCTAAACTCAAGCCAACCGCCCACTGCCAAAACTTTTTCCGTCCCAGGGCGTCTCGTGTCAGGGGGGTCCCAGGCGTCCCAGAGGGTATTTAGCGGGTTCCCAGAAAAGTCCCAAACCCGGCCTGACCTGGCCAGAGGCCCCCTGGCGCCTGAGGCACCCTGCGGCGAGGGGCCGGGACCTTCCCTGAGCTGGGGCCCTTGGATGCTGGGGGATTAGGGAAAATGGAGATCCGAGCTGTGGGAGGCACCCGGCCACCTGGGTCGACTTGCGCCATCGACGTGGAGGGGCTTAGGCGCCGCAACGTAGGGCGGCCTAGGGTTTAGGGTTTAGGGTTTAGGGTTTAGGGGTTAGGGCTTAGGGTTTAGGGTCAAGGTTTCTGGGTTTCGTGCTTGTTGGCGAGTCTTAAGGCTTCCGGGCCTAAGGCTCTGCTGCATGGCTGGGGCTTCGGACTTTGCAGGTCGAACGATTGGCCAAGCATGGCAGCACCCTTAGCCCGCCCTGAAGCCTAAACCATAAACCCCAGAAACCAGAAACCCTAAACCCTAAACCCTAAACCCTAAACCCTAAACCCTAAACCCTAAACCTGAACCCCTGAACCTGTAGAAGCGTGCGCCAGATACCTCTTAAAGACTCAAGATTCCCATAACAACAGCCGAGCCCGACCTGTTTTCAGGGCAATAAGGAATAGGCTACAAGGTTTAGGGTTTAGGGTTTAGGGTTTAGGGTTTAGGGTTTAGGGTATCTGGGGTTCACTGTTGAGGCTGGCTACGGGTGAGGGAAGCAAGTCGGGATTTGGGGCTTAAGGCTATGAACACCAAGCCATGAATCCCAGACGAACAACCCTAACCTCCTGAGAGGGCCAGTCCTCCAAATGAGGGCGCCTCTTGCGCATGATTGGGGAGCTGACCCTGTACTAACCCCCGACATCTGAACCCTAAACCCCTTACAACCCCAAAACCCCTTACACCCTAGACCTCTGAACCCTTCACCCCACACCCAAAAAGCCTAAACCCTGTCATGTAGGGCACCGGGAAAGAAGGAGAACCCCAAAACCCCAAAACCCCAAAACCCCAAAACCCCAAAACCCCAAAACCCCCTGTCATGTAGGGTGCCGAAAAAGAAGGAGAAGCGAAAAAATTGAAAGCTGATTCGACCGAGCCTTCCCTCCGCCATGAACCCCTGACTCGGGTGGCCTCAGAGGGTTTAGGGGTTCAGGGATTTGGGGGTTTAGGGTTTTGGGATTTGGGGTTTAGGGTCTAGGGTGCAGGGATTTGGGGTTTAGGGTTTAGGGTTTAGGGGATGTGGGGTCTAGGGTTTAGGGTTTAGGGGATGTGGGGTCTGGGGTTTAGGGTTTAGGGGATGTGGGGTCTTGCGCCTTGAGGACGCTGTTGGGTTGAGGGTTGCGGGGCTGGGGTTTGAACTTTGGGCAGTTCCAGGCCTCAGAGATTCAAGGCTCGACCTCTTGGGGGAGTCTACTCCTTTTGCCAGCTTAGGCACTACGACTGTGCAAAATGTGCCACCATTTTGGGCTTCTGCGAAAGGCGCCTGCCTTGTGTCTTGGTGCCGTACTCGTGCCCAAGGGTCTTGTAGTTGATGTTGCTTACATATGCAGATAACTCAAACGCAAGGTTGCCATGTGCTTTGTAGAGAGTGATAAGGGGTACCTGGTTGGCTCTTTTCCTCCACCCTCAGATGGACAAAGGGGACCCTTTAGGGGGGTTTGGGGCTGTAGGGCTTAGGGCTTAGGGCTTAGGGTTTAGGGTTTAAGGTTTAGGGTTTAGGGTTTTGGGTTTAGGGTTTTGGGTTTTGGGTTTTGGGTTTTGGGTTTTGGGTTTGGGGTTTTGGGTTTTGGGTTTTGGGTTTTGGGTTTTGGGTTTGGTTTAGGGTTTAACGTACTTTTGGGAGCTCTTCGTCCCCTGGGCACCGCACAAAGCCAGTAGACTCGGGGCAGGCGCCTCAGGCGGAGACGAGCCCGAAACCATGAACACGACCCAAATGCCAAGGCCCTCAAAGCTTGGGGTTTAGGGTTTAGGGTTTAGGGTTTAGGGTTTAGGGTTTAGGGTTTAGGGTTTAGGGTTTAGGGTTTAGGGTTTAGGGTTTAGGGTTTAGGGTTTAGGGTTTAGGGTTTAGGGTAGGGCCTCGGGCGTGTCGGGTTGCAAGCATTGCTTGGAGGTCATGGTACTTCTTAGCCAATTAGAACAGTACTTACAACTGTACTTGTAACCATATTCGGGCACTTAAGGGGCTTACAAGTGGGTTATTAGTACTGTTATAATTTGGTTAATATGTACCATGAACCTCCAAGCGGGCGTTTGGGATCCAAAGCGGGAGCCCAGGCATTCTGGGTGTTTAGGGACGTTGAGGGCTTTGCCTCCTTTTAACCCGGAGCCCTAAACCCCAAACCCTCCCAAACCCCAAACCCTGTTAGGACTTGGGGGCTGCGATGGGAGAGTGTCGGGCCTCTGCTGGACGGCTGGGTGTGGCCTCATCACGTGCCACCTGCGGTTTAGGGCTTGAGGCGAAAGGGATTTCATGCATGAAGGGAGTTACATGGTTTGAGGGATGAAGGGATGAAGGGATTGTGGGTTTAAGGGTTTAAGAGTCCAAGGCTTCTGCACTCCACACCAAAGTCCTTCAACCCTAAACCCTGAACCCCGAGCCCTCAAGCTCAAACCCCTTCTCTACACCAAACACCCGAAGCCGCCAGACCATGGCTTCACACCCAAAAACCTGGACCCTACCGCCTCAGCCAGAGGCTTGGAGGGTCTTAGGGGTTCAGGGCTTCAGGGATCTTGGTGGTTTAGGAATTTGGAAAACCTAAACCCTAACCCTAAACCCCTAAACCCCTAAACCCTAAACTCTATAAGCCCGAAGTTTCAGGGAATCGACTGCCTTCGCTTGCGCTTCGACGAAGAAGCTCTGTACAATGCGGTGCATCGGCGCCCGGCCCCTGAGCTTTGTTAGGGCTTGGAGTTTAGGGTTTCGGGTTTGGGATTTAGGGTTTCAGGGTTTAGGGTTTAGGGTTTAGGGTTTAGCGTTTAGCGTTTAGCGTTTTGCGTTTTGCATTTCGCGTTTTGCGTTTAGGGTTTAGGGTTTAGGTTTTGGGGTTGAAGGTTTAGGGTTTAGGGTTTAGGGTTTAGGGTTTAGGGTTTAGGGTTTAGGGTTTAGGGTTTAGGGTTTAGGGCTTAGGGCTTAGGGCTTAGGGCTTAGGGCTTAGGGCTTAGGGCTTAGGGCTTAGGGCTTAGGGCTTAGGGCTTAGGGCTTAGGGCTTAGGGCTTAGGGCTTAGGGTTTAGGTAGGGCTTAGGTCTTAGAATTTAGGGCTTAGGGATTCATAATGACAGTGTCTTGAATTGGCCGGTACCAAGGGGTATATATGAAACTTAGGCCGGGGGAGGGAGGGAGTTCTGGGGCAAGGTCTTACAGTTTGGGTGAGGATTCTGGGCTGCATTGCGGCTGACAAAGCCAGCCAGAGTTCCAAGAGCAGCAACCCAAGTCGAAGTCCTGTCTTGCTTGGCGGCGGCGGAAGGAACAATCCTAATACAGGAGCCTGGATAGTAACAAAACTGTCCCCTTTGAATCTGAAGAATACCTACCCTACACCCTGAAGACCCGAAAGCCCAAGATACTCAAACATGCCTCTGACACCATTGAGGCACAGCTGCGCACAAGCCGTTGCTGTCCGATGCTTGCAAGACCCTAAACCCTAAACCCTGAACCCTAAACCCTAAACCCTAAACCCTAAACCTCAAGCCCTAAGCCCTAAGCCCTAAGCCCTAAAGCCCTAAGCCCTAAGCCCTAAGCCCTAAACCCTAAACCCTAAACCCAAGTCATGCGACCCCGGCTTCATACCTGCGGAAGGCGTTCTCAATCTTCCTCGTCATCTGCGCTGCACATCTTCGAACCAAGTCGAAGGGCATGACCATCAACGGTCAAGTCCGAACAAACACTAGCCGGCTTCGGCTCAACAATAGGTTTAGGGTTTAGGGTTGAGGGTTTAGGGACAAGGGATAAAGACACTGTTGGATGCTCATTTCAGCTCTCAACAAAATTGCGCAGGCGATGACGCTTGCAGTGCATGCAGGATATTCAGTGGATGTTCCAAGCGTGCTCCGGTTCAGAACAAGGCCAGCCTGAAGAAATACAAAATCCCCTCTTGCGTAAAAATGTACATTGAAACTGTTCACCTCTCTTGGTGCCATCAATGGCGACCTACATGCACCATCTCACCCTCAAGCGAGGGATAACCAAGCTCTCTACTCGACCACGACTGCGGTAAGCTCAGTCTGCTCGCTCAAGCCAAGTTCTGCCAGCTGTGTATCACCAGAAGGAAGCTGTATGTCCCCATGCAGCAAACACATCTTGTCGGACGGCAATTCCAACACGGCTGCGACTCCTTCTATGACATCATGCATGCTCAGGTTCAGTGGGGCACTGATCCTTGCTAGTTGATGCCCGGATTTCACTGTCAGTGGTAAGAAGCCGAGCGCTGCCGCTTGCTCCTCAATTCTCTGATGTGCCTCTAGACTTTCCTTCAGAGTTTCGGTGAACCAAAGTGGAAACTCACTTGCACTGAGTGTGTCCGTCCCATCTTGACTGAATCTTCCGATTGAGGTCTTGAGTGCCTCCGGGGGGATGCCACTCATGGTCATGCCCAGGCCAATGTGCAAATCATCGCAAAGAGTGTGCACCTCCCTGAGCTCAAGGGTACTATTGCGATTCTTGTCATAGCGCCGAAAGTACATGTTGCACAGACCTTTCAGCAAAGCCGGCGAGTTCAGCAAGGCTTTCCCAAGCGAGCTGGTCATTGTAGGAGGGACCACGGGCAAACCGTTGCAGTGGGAGCAATGCGGGCCATGATGGTCCCTTCCGAGTCGGGCTTCCTGCTCCGACGTGTATCCAAAGGGAGTGATCTTCCAACTCCCCAGGTCTTCGACGGGCTGCGCTGGCTGTGCCACAATGTCCGGGGCTCGCAGGGATGTTGAAGCCCGGCTTGAAGTTCCTGTCTGAGTCGGTTCTGCAACCGGCCCACATTCTCCCACTCCCAAGCGCCGCTGCTGCTCCTGCGTGCACACCGCTGCTTTCAAGCTCCCCAGGTCTTTGATGCCCAAGGGCCGTTCGATCTGTCCAAGTGTCCATGCAGGGTCAACCACCATGGCAGCAAGGGTCCGAACAAGCAGAAGCAGCTTCGGCCAAACTAGAAGACGTGAGTCCCCATCCTATGCCAGCAGTTGGTGAAATGCCTGTGCCTGTCCTGAACTCGGGAATGAACCTGAACTCGGGAATGAACACAGACTTTCTGTCAGCAGCCGGCGGGGGTTAGCTTCAAAGGGAAACCCACCCCTGAGAACAGAGAAACGACTCCGTTCACAGACTACTTTTGCTCATTTTGTCCCATTCTGACTCCAGTAGCCATTCTAGCATAAGGGTACCCCTTGTTTTAGTTGCTTACTTTAACAAGGGAACCTAGAACCTAGAAAAGGGTTAAGGGTAACACTGGGCTGCCAAGGCATGATTAACTCAAGCCTAGCTCGGCCATTTCGGTGGCCTATCGGGGCGACTGCTAAATCCTAAAACCGACAGCCCTAAACCCTAAAGCCTAAACCCTAAACCCCTAAACCCTAAACCCTGAACCTTAAACCCTAAACCCTAAACCCTAAACCCTAAACCCTAAACCCTAAACCCTAAACCCCAAACCCAAGCCGAGCCGCAGGATGGCGCCGGCCGTCGGACGACGTGCAGGTGCTTTGCTAAGCATCTCATTACCTCTGGGGATGCTGGGTTTAGGGTTTAGGGTTTAGGGTTTAGGGTTTAGGGTTTAGGGTTTAGGGTTTAGGGTTTAGGGTTTAGGGTTTAGGGTTCAGGGTTTAGGGTTTAGGGTTTGGGGCTTAGGGTTTTGGGATTAGGGTTTCGGGTTTAGGGTTTAGGGTTGAGGCTTTAGGGTTGGAGGTCAGGGCTCAAGGCCTTTTGACGGTTGTGTGCTTGGGGCCGTATGGGCTTGTGGGTTCGGGTTGCAGCAGTCACTTTGGGCTTTCGAGGGTTTTTGGGTTGACGCCTGCTAGGGTTTCAGGCTTTTTTAAGGCAACTTTCGCCAAGGCGCAGAGGGTGCGAACGAACTCGGAGTATTCCTGCATTTGGCGGAATGAGGAGCCTTGAATGGCTTCAAGGCTCTCAAGGTTCTCGGCGTGTGAGGTTGAGCCCTATGCCAACCCCAGAAAGTGGAGAAGAAGCAAGAATCGAACGCCCTAGATTCCAGCACTTCGGCTGTAAAAACCCTGACACGTATTACGGGGCCAACCGTGGGGCTGCGGCTTTAGGAGGTTTAGGCCTTTTTAGGGGGTTTTGGGGGGGATTTTCGGTGGAGAGGGCCGAAGCTGAGGGAACCCGACATCCTGACCTCCAAAGTGTTCCCCCCCCCTAAACCCTAAACCCTAAACCCTAAACCCTAAACCCTAAACCCCCCACCCACCCCTGCAATCCTCGGGCAAGGGTGGGGCCGTCCCTCTGAGGATGCTTTGCACCAGGATGACCATGTTGGATCCTCACACAGGGGGGGCGCTAGGGTTCAGAGGCTTTGGGGTTTCGGGTTCAGAGTTTTGGGGTTTAGGGTTTGGGGCCAGGGGTTTCGGGATTACAAGTTTGGGGCTCAGGGTCTGTCAACAAACCGCCAAAGGCGGAAGCCGCCGACCTCAAACCTTTGGGACAGGGCCCTTCTCGCGGGGCTGGGGGTTAGGGTTTAGGGGTTAGGGTTTAGGGGTTGGGGGTTTGGGGTTTTGGGGTTTGGGTTTTGGGGTTTGGGGATTGGGGTTTGGGGTTTGGGGTTTTGGGATTGGGGTTTGGGGTTTGGGGTTTGGGGTTTGGGGTTTGGGGTTTGGGGTTTGGGGTTTGGGGTTTGGGGTTTGGGGTTTGGGGTTTGGGGTTTGGGGTCTAAACCCCAAACCCTAAACCCCAAACCCTGAACCCTAAACATTCAAACCCTAAACCCGAAACCCTAAAACCCCTAAACCCCTGATTCCCCGGCCTCCATCAAAGGGCAGCTTCAATGCGCAGAGCTCATACAGGATGATTCCCATGGCCCAGATGTCTGCAGGCCAGGCATACCTGAGGGCAGCTCCAACTTTGATGAAGGCTTCAGTTTAGTGCTCCTAAGCCCTAAACCCTAAAGCCTCAACCGTAAGCCGTAAACCCTAACCCCTAAACCCTCAACCCTCAACCCTCAACCCTACAACCCTAAACCCTAAACCCTAAACATTGGGGGCTCCAGCCGAAACTCCTTCTTGGGACCAGTTTGGTGGATATCTCGGGTTAGGTGACTGTTTAGGAATGGTTGGAGCTTGTGGGCTTTGGGGTGTAGGGCTTTAGGGGCTTACGGTTCACGGGCTTGAGGGGCTTTTGAGGAGCTTTCGGGGTTTGAGGATTTTGAGGGGCTTGAGGGGTTTGAGGGCGTTTCGTCTCTAGGCTTTCGCCACAGGGCTTTTCGGGTTCGCAGTTTTGGGGAGGTCGCTTGCAGTAGATTAGGGATCAAGAGCCCTTGAGGGCTTAGGGCAAGGCGGGTTTTAGAAGTTTGGAGTTCTAGGACCAAAGCAACCGCCAACTGCTCTTGATTCAACCGAATGCAGGGGCCCTATTATACTGGAATGATTCTTGTCGTTCACATCATCAAGCTTGTGAAATATGATTGGTTGGTACTGGTAACCATGTAATGCTCCTATATGAAACCCTGCACCCGAATTTCTGAAAGGGTTCTTCAGGGAAGGGGGGCGCAAGTGGGAATAAGCAACCTAAACGCCTGAACAAAAAAGCCCCGCAAAGCCCCCAAAAGCCCCTGCAAGAGCCCGAAAAGCCCCGAAACAGCCCCCTAAGAAGCCCCGACGAAGCCCCTAAACCCTCAACCCCTGAACTAAAGCCAACCCGGGCTCGGCTTCTCCTGGCAGACTTCTGGGCTCAAATAATAGGGCCTGGGCTACATGAGGCTTGTTGCTTCGGGGGTGTTTGTAAAGGGGCGTTAGGGGTGTTTTTTCAGGGCTGTAAGGGCTTTGGGGGGGGGGGGGGTGTTCATGGGGTTTGAGGGCTTCAGGCAGGGGTTTTAGGGTTCGATGCTTCGGCTTTACAAGGCTAGGTGGATTCACGGATTGTTGTTGCGGGGTAAAGTAAGGTGTGGGTTTCAGGGCTTTAGGGCCTCAGGGCTTTAGGGCTATGATTTTGGGGTCTGAGGGCACTTGCACAGCTTCCCTTGTTTGTAAGCAAAACCTCAGAAGGCTAAGCTGCCACTGCTATGCGCAACTCGCAGCCGGGGTTTAGGGTTTAGGGCTTGGGGATTGGGATTTTGTGGCGGGGGGGGTGGGGGTGGGGGGAGGGGTGAGCCACGCACCTCAAACCCCAAGCCCGAAAAACTTCACCACCGCCCTAAACCCCTCAACCCCTGAACCCTGTAAACCCTAAACCCCTGAACCCCTTAACCCCCCTAAACCCCTAAATTCTAGACCCTTAAAACCTATACCCCCCAAAACCCCAGACCCTGGGGTTGCCTAAACCTCCTAAACCTCCTTGCCCCTACACCCTAAACCCTATACCCTATACCCCCGTAAACCCCAAACCCTAAACCCTAAACCCTAAACCCTAAACCCTAAACCCTAAACCCTAAACCCTAAACCCTAAACCCTAAACCCTAAACCCTAAACCCTAAACCCTAAACCCTAAACCCTAAACCCTAAACCCTAAACCCTAAACCCTAAACCCTAAACCCTAAACCCTAAACCCTAAACCCTTGCCTAAAAACCAAAGACCCTGGACATTCGAGAGGATGTTCTCTGGCCAGGGCACGTTCCAATCGCGGTTCGAGCCACGGCCTGGCGAGATGAGGGCTTGGGGGGCGTTAAGGGCGCTAAGGGGCTTTGAAGGAATTTAAAGAGCGTTAAAAGGGGCTTGAAGGAATTTAAGGGCTTTAAGGGCTTGAAGGGCTTGAAGGGCTTTAACGGGCTTTGAGGGCTTTCAGGGCTTCGAGGGTTTTTGCGGTTGGGCTTTGTAAGGGTCTAGGGTATTTCGGGTTTAGGGTACGGGTTTAGGGTGCTTAGAGTTTAGGGTGTTTAGGGCGTTGAGGGTGGTTTGCGGGTTTTTCAGGGTTATGGTTAGGGGATTAGGGGTTTAGGTAGGGTGTTAGGGTGTTTAGGGTATTTAGGGCGTTTAGGGTTCAACAGGGCTTGCTGATGAAAAATGTAAACTTTTGTATTTCTTAATGTTTTGGGATTCTCTGGGTGGGTGGGTTTTTTTTCGAGAGCCCAAACAGCGGCTCTACTAGAGATTGCTCGACCCGGAGCTGCTGAACCTAAACCCTAAACCCTAAACCCCAAACCCCAAACCCCAAACCCCAAACCCCAAACCCCAAACCCCAAGCCCTAAGCCCTAAACCCCTAAACCCCTAAACCCTAAACCCTAACCCAAAGCCCTAAACCCTAAACCCTAAACCCTAAACCCTGTTGGTTATGGTTTGTAAGTACCATGAACCTCCAAGTAGGGGGTATGAGATGGTTTAGGGACTCGGCGTCCAGAGTTTTACGGATGTGCAGGGACTTCGAAGATACGCCCTCGCCATGGCAACACAGGGTTTAGGGTTTAGGGTATAGGGTTTAGGTTGTAGGGTGTAGGGTTTAGGCAGTCTGTACGGCGCTTGGCACCTACTAGAAGAGCAGCCTTGGAGCACGAGTCTGACGGAGCTGCGCAGGACAGAGCATTTTGATTGCTGGTTCTTGCATGTAGGCAACACTCCATACACGCTACGCCCCAAACCCTAAACCCTAAACCCCTAAACACCCTAAGCCTCACACCCCCTCCAACCTCACTCTGTCATCATCCTACCCACGAACCATTTCATCCAAAAAAAGAGGGGGGAGGGGGGGGGGGGGGGGCCGGCGAGCGGGGGGGAGGGGGGGGGAGGGGGGGGAGGGGGGGGGGGGGAGGGGGGGGGGGGGAGGGGGGGGGGGAGGGGGGGGGGGGGAGGGGGGGAGGGGAGGGGGGAAGAAATGACCCTTAGCCACGAAGAAATCTTAGCACCCAGGAAATGGCCCTTAGCGACCAGGAAATGGCCCTTAGCGACGAAGAAATGGCCCTTAGCGAAGAAATTGCCCTTCGCCACGAAGAAATGACCCTTAGCCACGAA